TATTTCACAGGCCATAGCACGGATGGAGGCCCATGGAAAAACCAACTACCAGCTTCTGACCTACCCAGGTGCAGGGCATCTCTTAGAGCCACCCTACATGCCACACTGCAAAATAGCCTATCACCCTATTTTAGGTATGCCATTTTTGTCCATCTTATCGCTGTAAAATAACCATCTGTTAAAACAACATAGCCTTACACTACACAATCTACAGTACAATGATTATAACTTGTTGTATTTAAAGATTTTACATTTTCATTGGTTGAAGTTTGTCTTTGCTTCAATCAAATCCAAGAGAGTGTTTCTTATATGACATGATGAATCAGTTTCTTACAATTAAGCCAGCTGATAAAAATCAGAGAAAGCATTTCAACAAGCTCTTTTTGGTACAATGTACAAAAAAACTTATTGGTGCATTTAATGGGTTTATTTCTGTTTGTCTGTTTCCTTCTATCTAGTACAGATTGGGTTCCTGTCAATTTTCATGAGTTCACCACATGACAATTGTAAGCCATAAAACAGCAACAGCCATCCTGCTTTGTTCCAGATACAACTATAGATTATGGAGGTGAGACCAGAGCCCACTGTGCTGCTCAGGAGGACCTGTGGCCCAGAATGATCACCTTTCTCAGGAAGTGCAGACCAAACAGTCAGCTATGATGGTGGAATTGGTCGTGTAATGTTAATTTGTCCTTTATGAGTCTTAAATGAATAAAGAATAGGGACATACTTACTTTATGGTGAGCGGGGTTCTTCACATTTTTATTCAGCCATCCATTGACGTGATTGTACCCATCGGGGCATATCCAACATCCCTTTGAAAACTTTGCAGGTACAGATGAGGCTGATGTGTTGATGTGACCTTTTGATACATATATTTCTCGTCATAAAGATGGGAAAATTTCCCAAATAAAGAAAGTCTCAAATCCAAAAGGACCTGAGCTCACAAAGTGTCTGAACTGTTTCCTTCTGTTCAAAAATTTGAGGGAAATCCTGATCTGATGAACATACCGGTATGAAACATTTGTCCAAAACACCATGCACCCAAAAGTAAACTTGCCCATCCTTGGGCTTACCACCATCAACTTACAGATAAACATACCTGTCCTTGGTGCTGAACACCATTCGCTCTCTAGTAATCATGTCTGTCCCTGGTGCTGAACATCATCCACTCACAGGTAAAATGTATGTCCTTGGTGCTGAATCTGTTCACAGGTAAACAAATCTGTCATAGGTGCTGAACACCATCCATTCATGAGTAATCATGTCTGTCATTGGTGCTGAACACCATCCACTCTCACAAGTTTACATACTTGTCCTTGGTGCTGAAACACCATCTTCTCACAGATAAGAATGGCACCTGTCCCTTGTACCCAAAACCTCCCCGAACTCCATTCACATATTCAAGTAAACAAGAGACCGTCTCCTTTTGACTTTTTCATCCCAGATGAAAAAGTCAAAAGGAGCCAGCACTTTATTTCATTCCTGTCCAATATGCCTGCCAGTAAAATATATAAAAAAAGTCACATTAAGTGGCTATCAAAACAGTGGCGCTAACAGGTGGGGAAATTGATACTGTCTGGAAATGGATACAGGCTGGCTAATTTGATACTGTCTTAACCCCACCGAAAGAGTCCTGCTTGGAGATAATGTACATCACGTTAGTTCACCACGTGTTGATATCAAACTACATGTACTCTCTATTGAACATGGTGCCCCCTTATCATAGTACTACGTTAGGAGTTATCGTTACTGAGTTGATTGCGGAAAGGGAAATACAAAATGTATTTTTCCAGTAATCGGACCGCACACATCTTGGGTCATCTTGGCTTGCAGGCTATCCCAGTGTGGTGAGAAGAACAAGCGAAGTCCAGGAAACCGCCATGACGAAGCCGGTCCCCTTTCTCAGTTCTGGTCCGACACAGCCGTGCACGGTTCTTTTATTTTCCCGCGCTTTGTTTAATCATCTTTATTAATACCCGTATTCCTCTCAAATGAGGAAATGTTACCTGATGGTAGAATGTGAACCAATGGACTAACGGTATTTCTGGTTGTAATTTAGCCACTTTCCGGTAGCCTCACTGTGCAATTTGAAAAGGCCATCCAGATAGCTAGATAATAGTACTGAACACCAGGCTAATACTAACCAACAAGGACCTACTAGTACTTGCAGATTTTAGTGTTACGGTGTTTGATGTTTGGGCGGCGTTGCAAGAAAACATTCGAATCCACGGTGCCGAACCATGCGCTTCTGTTGAAGTTCGAAAAGGCAGGTCAGGTCAGTGGTGTGGTGAGAGAGTTGTCCGTCCAGACTTCTGTCCGGCGTAGACATGGTCTAAAGATGCGCCAGAACACCAACAGACTGCTTCTGAGGAAAGTGCCGTCACGTTTACGGCCAGGAGGGCAGCCGCAACTCAGCCACAATCGCCTGTTCAAGCGCGGTGTCCGTACCAGGGCCCGTAGCGGCCTGACAGCTGTGTTCCCGGCGGAAGCCGTGATAATTTTGTGCCGATGTTGATTGTGCCCGGCCTGGAAGCGAGTGGGTCGATCTTCAACAGAAACTCCTGACACTTAGTACCCGTAAGATTGGGAGAAATATGTCATCATGGGTTAAAGGACTGGTGTACCTTCTCAGCGCGCTGGTCTGTGTGGGGCACCTGCCCTCCCCCTCCCCACCCTGCATACCTGCATCTTTGACGAGATCGAACCGTCTGACGTGCCACAGAAGAGACAGAGTTACGCCAGACCTGCAGACGTTTCTGGCAGAACCAGGAGAAACGCCGTGTTTGAATCATTGAGAATCACGCCGCGGTTCCACAACATCGGGTCGGAGCTGGGGCGGGCGGAGCAGGACAACCTGCAGGCGGTGGTGCGGGAGGCCGTGAGCAGGATCACCCGGGCACTGGCGGGTAAGCCTCCCGGGGTGGGGGTAAGCCCAGGGGGTGGGGCAACCACACGTGCCCTGGCGGGTGGGGAATCACCCAGGCCATGGTAGGTGGGTGAAGACCCCATAAGTCCCATTGCGATCAAGGCGCTACACATGGCTGTATTATTCCAGTTCCAGCCCTGGGTCCTTGGTTAGTAACAGTAATGATGTTTACTTTGATCAATTGAACAGTCCTAGGAAATGTTGCAGTAATCCTGCAACTACCGTCCAATAACTATTTTAAGAAAAAGTTGAACTTGTCTTTTACATCATTCTACATCTGAGGTGTTGGCTGCACACCTCTAACCTAGGTCATGCCTCCCTGACTAGCTACATGTTTGGGTTGCTAGTTCTGCTAAAAGGTCTCCCATGTCCGTGGATAATAGTGGCACTTTGTAAACACTGCTATTGTTGCCTCCCTTGTTCAGACTGAGGGGCTCTTAGTAGCAGTGGTATTTGTTGTGGTGTCAGAAGGATACATTTACAAATTATGTTAATCAACATGCAGTCAAGGCCACCAAATGTTTTGCCATATTCATGAAATTGTGGGCTTACCAGCAAATTCAGTGTTGAAAGGGACCAAAGCTGAACAGGGCTGGATAACAGACAGAGGTTGCACCTTGTTCTACAGCATTTGGTTTAGCCCATACTGGAAAATTTGTTCATGCCGTGATGGCATGATGTGTATGGGAGCATATACACTGTTGTACTAGTGCATGTGCACTTACTTACACACACACACACATGTAGTCAATATGTTCTTACATCACCATTTGAACACTATCCATAGTGCAGATTCTCCTCTGCACACCTGTAGTTGGGCCTACCCACTATCCATAGTGATGATACTAGCTGTACCTGTAATAATCCATCGTGATAATTCTCCTCTGCACACCTGTACTGCTGTAGTTGTACCAGTCCAGGGTTCGCTAGTCTTGGGGAGGAACTTTACTGAAATCTGCAAGTTTGCAGTTGCTGCCAATCAGCCAAATGCTGGGAAGTGAGTATGAAAGACTCATTTTCTAACAAATCATATTATAGCAGCAGTATATTTTCAATTGAAGTTCAAAGGATTGTTGCCCAGACATCGTGAGAAAGGTGTTTAGCCAGCTACCAGTAGTGATGACAGCAGTTTGCTTGCTATCCTGTTATGCATGGCTTACCAGGTTTTCTAGTTTTATTATGATGTCATCATTACAGTGTATTCAGTTCCTGCAGATGGACCTTGCATTATTTCTGTAATTTATATTCATGTCTGTGTTCAGAAATGTTATATTTAATCACTGTCCCAAGTCACTTTATTTCCAATTAGTTTTTATTTCAGTTCCATTTGATTCCTGCACAGGTGTTCTGTGGCAAGAACCACCTACCAAGGAGAAATCTGCATTGGAGAGTTTCCGGTTTGTTTTATTTTACTTTCCTTGTTTTTATACATTTTTCAGTTCACTCTTCTACGACCCACTAGCTTTTGCAATGATGTACATGTACAAAACCACAAACGTGTGGCTGTTGTTAAAGTTTTCCAGATCCTCCCTGCTAACCTCCTGGTATATGACATATTGTTTTTCATGTTCATCTGTCATGATGGCAGAATATGAGTGGACTGACTCCTGCTGTAGCATCACCTGTGCTTGCACAGCTGTGTGGCCCAAGGCATAACAAAACTGAGATGGGCACTGCCCTATATATAGTGTGGAAAAGGATTTTTCTTGAAACCAGCAAAAAAGGTTCTGTCATCCTGAACTCATTGTCAAACCTGTCTCCCACCTTAGATACCGAATGAGCACCTAGAGGGGTTTGCTACCTGGGACGACACAGGTGACACACCTGCCCAGGTGTTGTACTCAGAAGGTGCAGGTGTGAGGGACACAGACTACATCCTATATGTAACAGCTGCCACCACTACCAGGTGTCAAAATGATGTAAGTTTCACATTAGGAAGATTGCAGTGTAATTTTCATAAGACATATGATTGACAGTAACAGCCTTTCATGGCATAATGATATTCACATCACTATTTTGCATATATGGCTTTTGTAAACATTACAAAAACAAGCTAAAGAAGTTTTTTTATGACACTAGATAATCCCCATTTGTGTTCCCAGCATTCCATTCTAGCCTATGCGTCATACTGTCAGCTGGACCAGAACGACCGCCCCACAGCCGGCTACACCAACTTCTGCCCGGTGCAGCTCCAGGGACCAGGCTTTGATCGTGACAAGTTTGTCATGGTGAGGAATGCTATGTTTAGGATAGCTCCTAGTGGAACAGCATAGGCAGGGAAAAACGATGGTACCTACCAGTGTTTTCATGAACTGTATTGTGTAACAAGCCCTGTTGTGCTGTGCTGTGCTGTGTAACAGCCTTGTTACCTCCATGAAAAATGGAGGTATTGTTTTTGGCACGTCTGTGTGTGTGTGTGTGTGTGTGTGTGTGTGTGTTTCCGCACATTTGTAGTCAGCATAACTTCAGAACGCCTTTATGGATTGTGATGATATTTCGTATGCTGGTAGGTCTTAGGAAGCCAAAGGTCAAGGTCAAATATGGGCCTCCTGGTGGCTGACCCTGGTACTGCAGCAGAACTTTTTTATTTTGAGGGAAAACAGATGTGCCAGTTATGCAACAAAATACCAGCTGTCAAAGACTTCCTCTAACGCAAAACAGCACGCCTACCCGGTTTGATTAATGAGATTCTCCCTCTGGAATAGGCTACATGTACTGAGTTGACCATATCTATTACAGCCTGACCTATTTCAGGCCAAAGGTGCTACTGTATTAGCTTTTTGTTAAAAACAAAAACCTGTGTTATTTTGTTCTGTACTGAAGTGTAGTGTACTGTGTAAAAACATTTACAAAAACTCATATATTTCATGGAGGTTTGAGATCTCCGAATTCTTGTTGTGGCATGTTTACAGACGGCCATCCATGAGCTGTTCCATGCTTTGGGGTTCTCCAAGCAGCTCTACGACAAGTTCAAGGACTGCTCTTCTTCAGGTGAGTTAAATTTTACTTTCACATCCTCAGGTGAGTCAATCTTCTACTACCATGCCCTCAAGTTTAACTTCACTGTGTCCACTTCTACAGTTGACCCCCCCCCCATGTCTCCACCCCTACAGCCGACCCCACCTCCTGTGCAGGCAGACGGGATGTTGTGGAGAATGTCCATGGCCTGAATCGCATCACCACGCCAACTGTGGTCAACCACACCAGGCACCACTTCCACTGCACATGGACAGACTTTGGGGGGCCTCTAGAGGACAGGCCAGCAGTAAGATTTATCCTCTCACCCTATTATCCCATAGGAGATATTAACACATCATTTACAGATGTATATCTTTTACTAACAAACACCAACTTATGCTTCTCTAGGATTATGGGAAAGAAGTCAAGGAAAATTCCACCCTTGCACGTATAAAGAGAGACTTTTTGGAGTTCAAGGTTGAAAACAACGATAGACCTATATATACAGATATGTCATACATACAGATGGAATCTTTATTGAACTGTTTCATTTGTGCCTGTCCAGGGTGTAAGTTCCCACTGGGAGGCTCGTCTCATGCAGGGTTCCATCATGACAGCCAAGTTGGGACAGGTGAGGAACTTGAAAACTTCCACAGTCCATTGCACCTTAATATGTGATAGAACTTTACAAGTTAAGATATGATAGATCTTTACAAGTTACATGATGATGTGATAGAAAGTTAAAGCATAATAGAACATTACAAGTTACCAGCAGACTGCTGATGCCCTCACACGGTCCTGTTCTTTCTGCCTATAGCCCTACCTGCACACCATTGATGCCATAACACTGTCTGTGTTTGAAGACTCCGGCTGGTACCAGGTGGACTACAGTACTGCAGGCCAGCTGGTCTGGGGGGAAGGTACATAGTACAAAAATATACTTACTTACAGTTACTTATCCTCTTCATCCCTGGCAAGACATGAGGCCATTACTTTTTCCTTTTATCTGGGTCTGTCCTTACGTAGTACTTGAGTTACATAAATACCAGGCTCTAAATACAGCTGTTGTTTCCTTATCCAGGTCAGGGCTGTATGTTTGGGACTGAAGCAACTTGTGTAACCAATGATGACTGGTTCTGTCTTAGCAGGTAAGAAGTGTAAATGAAAAATATTTTCATATAAATGATTGTTGTAATATGTGCCTGTTGTTGCAGCTGGGTTTAGTTGGGTGTAGTAACTGGTTCCAGTTGTTCCAGCTGGGTTGGTTGGGGTATTGTAAGGTGTGCCTTTTATACTACAGCTCTGTTGGTTGTCACTACCTCCATCTGGACAAAGGTCAGTGTGAAAGCGACAGCTACCTGGGTGTCTGCCGGGTGTACAAGCCTCAGACAGGGGTGAGAAACTTACATTTAATTCTGATTTGTTTGTGGAAAACAATTGTCCACCTCAGTCAATGTTAGACCTTCGAAAACAGAATGCTAGCTATTCTCTGCATTACGTATAACATCACATATAACCTCAGATCTGAAATGTCAGCTTCCAACTTTTGAATTTAGTTGGATTCCTTTTCTTGTCAGCCTTTCTGTAAAAGTTTGTTTGAAAGTGCATGTTTGAAAGTTGTGATCCAGATAGACTTGACCAGGCTTGACACAGGTATCTGTTGTAACAGGACGAATGTTGGAAGGGAAGCAACGCCCCCAGTCCTCTGCAGCTGGAACTGCATGGGGAGAGTTACCAGGAGGCCAGCAGATGTTTTGTGTCCAACCTCACCAAAACTGTGAGTTCCCCCACATGTCCTGTCATGTTGTATCTTCATTTACTGTTGGTTTTTGAAATCTTTTGAGAGAAAAATATTCCATTGTTCAAGGGAGTATTTGATTTTTCTAAAATATTGATGGAAAATGCAGAAAAATTGGTAGTAATTTTGCAACATTAAAGTCAAGTGTAATAAAAAACAAACCAATGCTGGTGAAATGATGACCGCAGAGTTCAAGTACAACAATGTCTCCCATGTTTGCGAGACACCTGTCTGTTTTCCAGGGCCTGGGAGGAACGTCGTCACCTGCTGGCAGGTGTTATGAACACAGGTGTAACAGCTCAGGTGTGCTGGAGGTCAAAGTTTATGGGTCACCTTGGGCCAGGTGCCCCTTTGGCAACTCTATAGCGGTGGGTGGTGCTGTGTGATTTTTGTTTAACATTCTCCCTGCTGTAAGTGTAACAGCCTTTTGGCACCAAGTTTAAACAGGTGCATTGCTCTTGTATTGCTGTAGGCAACACATTGAATTCAGAAACCTGTTTCCTAGATTTGTAGAGCATTTGATTTTTTTTCTAGCCGTTAAACAATTTTTCTATATCTTTCTCCATCTCCAGATCCCTGGCTATAGTGGAACATTGGAGTGTCCTCCCAAGGGGTCCTCTGCAGAGATGTGTACCCCCCTCCCCACACCACTACTGCAGCGCCTCCTGCAGCTGACAACTGCCCTACAGGTACACCTGATGACCTGTACGAGGTGGTGTACTTGGAAGTCACCTTCCCTGCTGAGGTATCCAGGTTGACCCAGGCTGACCTTTCCATCTTTCATGATCTTGTTGCCACAGAAATGGCAACCTTAGCCTGTATTAACAGGTAAGAATCCTATTTTGTCTGAAAGTTGTCCAAGATCTACCACAGCCAGTTTTTGTGTCCAACATATGCGTGTGGTTTGCTCCATTAATCTTGCTCCTCCTGTCTGGACAGAAACCGTATTGAGATTCGGCTGGAGGACCAGCTCCAGGCCCATATGGTGTTTGTACGTCTCTCTCCTGCACACAGCAGTACAGGTGACTAAAATGCGATGCCTTTTACTTATTATACAAAATTGTTACTAGTTCTGATTAAAATGTAATGACTTTGTGTTGCCTAATTAGAACTGTACCCTTACTCACACATGAACATGTATAAGAGTAGTAACTGTCTTCTTACCATCAGGTCCTGGTTGTGCTGGAGTCTTTGCTCACCTAGAGGTCGTTGTGCAGGCTGGTGGGTTCATTGTGACATTACAGGGAAAGCAGTACCAGGCCATGGCCATCAGGTAATTTCAACTTGAAAATTGGATGGATTTGTGTTGTACAGGATGGTTTTGAGTTGTACAGGATGCTTTGAGTTGTACAGGATGGTTTTTGAGTTGTACAGGATGGTTTTTGAGTTGTACAGGATGGTTTTTGAGTTGTACAGGATGGTTTTGAGTTGTACAGGATGCTTTCGAGTTGTACAGGATGGTTTTTGAGTTGTACAGGATGCTTTCGAGTTGTACAGGATGGTTTTTGAGTTGGACAGGATGGTTTTTGAGTTGTACAGGATGGTTTTTGAGTTGTACAGGATGGTTTTGAGTTGTACAGGATGGTGTTTGTGTTGTACAGGATGGTGGATGGAAAGCCTGCCAGGAGACCCCCTGCGGCAGTTGCTGTGGCATTAGGCGTGGTGGGGGGAGTTTTGCTACTGGTCCTGACAGTTGCTCTGCTCTTCTTCTACAAGGCCAAGACTCCCCGCACGGTTGCCCCGGAGACGCCTGTCAGGGCCAGCAGTGTTACACTACAACGTTTCTAGCACTGGAGACACCTAGCATGGCCAATATTTTGGTTACAGCTTGACCTAGCCTGAGGAAGAAGTACTTACATGTTCGGCACTGCTTTCTTTCCTCCTAAAAGGAGTTTTGGCCCCCAGCAGCTATCTTCAAAAGTGCAGGTTACAAGCATGTAAATCCTGAAAACTATGATACAATACCAGTTGGGCAGAAAGTTGCATTTTTGCAGTACTTTTTAGGCAATGCTGTGTAAACAAGGATGAATTACAAGTCCTAGCCTAGCTATACAAGCTTTTCATTTGACGTCACTTGTTCCATGTATGTCTGCTACACACCCCAACATGCTGCTGCTGTACTCCAAAAAGGTCACTGGGGTATTCCAATTCTAATCATTTCAACACCAATGAAAAGCTTGCATTATTTTGTATTTTGTAATAAAAATGCTGTAATGCTATACCATGATGAGCCTCGTTTGTAGCTTGTTCAATCCTTCTGTTCACAACAGCAGACAAAGATCAGGATATTAAAAGAGAGTTTTACCCAGCAAGGATCATGACACAGGAATTCTTCATTTTGAATTCTGATGAAGTAGATATGTGTATGTGTGTAGCTTCTATGGATGCAATAATTATTGTACATGTACATGTTCAAAGGGAACTTTGTAATTGAGCTGAGTCTTCCATATACATGCATGTATGAGTATACAGATGCCATGTAAATGGTTGCTGAGGTAAGGCATGGTAACCCTCACGTGTGCTTTCAAAAAAATCTGTGCAGCAATTTTTAAGTTGATGACAGATACTTTTGACTTCGATATACATTGTATACCTTTTATATGACAAACTTCTTTACACTGTTTACTGTATATAATATCAAATATATTTATATGTATATTGGAAGGATCTTTTGAAGTGATATATATTTTCATGTTTATATGTGCAATGAGATTACTTAATACATGTAATACTGTAGATTACTAGTATACTTTATGTACACCAGTGTTATGAGATTATGACAGAAATGCCATCAAATAAAATGATATTAAGTATTTCAAGTGTACAAGAATATTTTTTCACTTTTGATAATGCTGAGCTTTTATAAATGACAGTTGTACAGTTCTTGATCCAGCACCTTCCCGCTTGATACTGACAGTACATGCCCTGTCTCACACCCTGCCTGCTGTGCTGTCTCTACAATGGTATTGTAGCACTAATGATCACAACACTCTACAGCCCAATAATTAACTATAGTGGAGCTGTAGCTCCAATGACAGAGAAAGCTGCCCAGTATGGAGGTGCAGAAGTCTTCTTGTTCCTCAGCATGTGCAACATGGCATCTCTCATAGCTTGGGCTGCATCACCACTCGTCTGTGAAGGGAAACAAGGAATGGGTTCAAAATTGCCTTCACAATGTCTACTTTCTGCCAATACTTGACAGACAGTGGCCTTAACTTAGTGTTACAGATGAAGATCATGAAGACCAAGAATGTGTATTGTTTCATAAATTCAACCTTCCTTTTTTTGCTAATCCCATCATTGGTAGCGAAACAGCTACTTTAATTTATTAGAGGTTAACTATGTAGACTGTCACGTTTTTCTTATTAGGTATCAGTCCCACAAGCTCCTGTTCAGTCCCTACCTTGTAGCTGCTGTAGAAATGTCGCATGAGTCGCCGAGTCTTCCTGTCAGGAATCCTCCATAAGGTCACCACCACGTTTGCTGACCCAGCAGCCAGGAAGGACCTGTACATCCCCAGCACCCCGTCTCCTAGGGAACACCAGCAGTCAGTCATCCTCATCACTAACACATACTTTTGCAGGTAAGGTTTCCTCATAGGAGTAGGAAGGGAGTTATGAACATACAAGAGATAGAAACTCATTCCACGAATTTGCATGCATACAAGTCCCTTTGCACTTTGTGAAAGCCCAGAGTGTTGAAAGTTGTGCAGCTGACCTGTAACAGTGCCAAGCCCCGTGTTGCAGCAGCTCAACACCACCATCTGTGCAGACAGGTCCAGGCAGCGAATCTCCTCAGCTGTCAGGATTCCTGCACAGCTATTGTGGGATTTGGACAGCACAATGTAGCCAGGCATGCTGTAGTTACCAGTGGCTCTGGTGGCATCGGCAGTCTGGCAACAGTAGGGAATGAAATAAGAGCATCAGTCACTGAGTCCTCTGGATAGTGTTTTGACATACTTTTATGTATGAAACATGTAGCAAGCCAGGGATGTACATGTGTATACATTGTACATGTAAAAATGGAAATTGCATTTCTGAGGGGCAGACTTACCTGATGGTGGCAGCCCGTATGGCTGGCATGTGCTGCAAAGTGCAACACTGTGTGGCGAGGCATCTCCTCCCTCACACAGTCCTTGGTGGCATTGCTGCCAGTCAGCCACAGTCCAGATGCCCCCAGGCCTTTGTACACCATCTCTGCCTCCTTCTCTGCCTCCTTCAGGGCTGGCAGGCGGCGTGCAGGGTCTGGGAAGGGGTTGCCCACTGCCAGCACACTGGGCTTTGGCTGGGAGCGCCTGTGGATCTGCAGCTGCTGATGGGACAGCTGCAGCACCTGCATGGATGGGGCTATAGAGATGGAGTATTTCTGTACCAGGTACATCCCATCCGCATCTACCAGTGCACAGAATGGGATGCTGAATAGGAAGCCTGCAAAGGGAAAAACATCATGACATAATACAGACCAATCCCAATGTCCTGACCATGAAAATTTGATGCCAAACAAAACGTACAAAGATTGTTCTGATATGCAGCCAATCTCTTTTTGGTTGAATTGTCGGTGTTGAAGCTTAGTTTACAGCTTGTAAGTCAAAAACAACACTTAGCTTAATAGAATATTTAATGAAACAAAAAAGGCAATGTTTTCACTTGCTGTGTATTAAGTGTTCCTGACACCAGTCACATTGTGAAGAAAGAAGCATTTAAACAAATTTCAAACATTCTGAAGTGACCCTGTATTCACCATGAGGAACGAAAGTTATCCTAGGTGCCGTCTCCCGTCCATCCAGTGCTGGGAGAAACTGGTCAATTGGTTTGATGAAGTTGTCATAGTCTGCATGTAGCACAGTCTCCCATCTGTGTTCCCAAGCCTGTTGTGTCTCCCACCGGTGTTCCTGGGTCTGCTGTGTGGATGGTGAAGGCTTCACTTTCAGGGCAGGCAGACGGTCCAGGTCATCTTCGTCAGATTCATCTGATGTGTCCTCACTGACACTTGTCTCATCACCGTCTTGACCTTCTTCTAAACAACAAATAAAGAGATAGCCAGATGGACTGACTTAAAGCTAAATCACTTTTCTGGCATCGGTAATGATGATATTACCAAATTCAGAAGATGCAGATGACAAAATTGAAATGCTCTTCGAGATCAGATAAATCCAAATGTTTTACAGGCAAAGTAAGTGTCCATTTGTCTGCCCTGCCCCAAAAGCAAACACAACCAGCTGCTTGTTTCCTTGCAAAACATTAGACATGCACATTCTTCCTTACCAGCTTCCTCAGACAAGGTACCCATGGACCTGAGCAGGGTGTTGTAGTACCCCTGATCCAGCTCTCCTCTGTCCACCTGGACTTTGTCTACCTGCAGCATCTTGGTAAAGAGGATCTTCTCTCCAGGATTCACTACCCAGCAGTACACCCATCTCTCACCAATGTTGTATGGATGCTGTTCAGTCACCACAGAGTAAAACACAATTGTGGTGTCAAGTTCTGCTGCAAGGGTTGTGATGTCCATGATGCTGTTGATTACTGGGGCCTCCTGTTTCCCTGTTTGTTTGACCTTGACACTCATGAGATCTGCAAGGGCACGACCCCTGCCCTTCTCTGCCATGACCAGTGCATCGTGGGAGTTTCCCTGGAGAACCAGAATGTGCTGCAAGATGTTGTAAGCATCCACCTGGTTTTTCTCATTGTGGGCGATTCGTGACAAATCCTCTGGACCAAGTTTGCCCCTGATCCTCTCCAAGGTGGTTACAGCATCACGAATTGATTTCTCAGCCATGTCATAATCCTGTAAGAAGGCAAGGAAATATTGAACCAGCAAAAAAATGCAGGACAGTGCCTCATAAACAATCCAACCTGAGGCAGGTGATCCTGTTAAACTTCTCCCTGCTGAGGTAGTCTTTAGGCAGCAAGTTTTCATGGCAGTTAAGACAATGTAGATAACCTCCTTGAGGATCAGACAACAGAAAGAAGCTTAAGACCCAAACCTTCTTGAAGAGGTAGTCTAGAGCCAGTTCTCTCTGCATGATGGCCACCCCACCCACATCCTCCCTGCTGTCTGCATTCTCCAGGTACTTCTGGTGGTTCACAATGGCTTCTTCATACCGACCTGAAGGGGCAGGAAACCAATGGTGAGACTTCACCTTCTTTACTCGGTAAAGCACAGATGAATATAAAATCAGTCATTGTCCTCAGTCACCTTTATTATTAGGCAAAATGTAACAAACCACCGGCTATTATAATTGTTTATCTTGCTTCCTTTCCTATGTACATGTACTTATTACTGACTAGATTTAAATCTGTTACTGGGCCCAGGTTCCCATGTACATGTACCTACCCAGATCCCTGTATGCTGTGCCCAGGTTGCCATGTGCCATGCCCTCTCCTGCCACATTCCCTGTGTTCTGGTGAAGCTGTATAGTTTGTTTCAGCAGGACCACAGCTTGATCTGGCTGCTGCATCCCTAGAAAGATATATAACAGTTACATACCATATGTGGGATTAAAAATACACATTTTTATTATCATTATCATGATATTCTGTATATAACATAGATCATACTGATCAACTATGACTCTGGGTGTTTATATACAAAGACATGACTATAAGATAAATGATTACTACCTGTGTACACTTTCCCCAGACAGTTGAGTGCCTTGCCCTGCATGCCCGGGTCCCCCAGGCGTCTGGCTAGCAGCAGCTGTAGTGTCAGGTACACCAGCGCCTGCTGGTAGTCTGGAGCAGGCTTCATGGAGTAGAAGGTAAACCCTTTGTTGAAGCAGGCTGTGCAGAGGCTACTCAGGTCACCTGCCATCAGAAACATTGTTTTCCACAAGATGTCTTACTGTTAGTCTTTTACAGGTTTGATGTCTTCAGATACAGTTTGTTCAATAGTACACATTCAAGTCTGTTACACAATGCTTAATCATATGGCCAATGCTGCTCTGCATTAATATTACATCATTAATTAAGTTGGATTAACTTTTTTTTTAAATTTGACAAAGCACTTGTTGAATGGTCTCTTCAGATTTAATAAGTTTCTCCACCTCTCAGTAATGCAAAGTTGTACTGTTTCTCCTGCTCTTGGAGTGCCTCAGCAGTGCGGCCCTCAGACCGGTACACGTTTCCCAGGTCTCCGTATCTACTGGCTGCCTGAATCGGATCTCCCATGTCTTCTGCGATGGAAACAGCCTCCCTAAGGTGGTCCTTGGCAGGGCCCCAGTCTGCAGCAGACCTACAGAGATGTAAACATGAAATAGAATAGAAATTTTGAAACCTTCTCTCAAAGCAGAAGCCTACCAATGGTGTGAACATGTTGGCAGCCTGATAAACAGAAACTTAGCTTACCTGTTGTACTGACCCACCTCACCTGTTGTACAAAAATGTACTGACCCACCTCACCTGTTGTACAAAAATGTACTGACCCACCTCACCTGTTGTACAAAAATGTACTGACGCACCTGGTACTGACCCACCTCACTTGTTGTACTGACCCACCTCACCTGTTGTACTGACCCACCTCACCTGTTATTCCCACCTCACCTGTTGTACTCCCACCTCACCTGTTGTACTCCCACCTCACCTGTTGTACTCCCACCTCACCTGTTGTACTCCCACCTCACCTGTTGTATTCCCACCTCACCTGTTGTACTGGCCCACCTCACCTGTTGTACTCCCACCTCACCTGTTGTACTGACCCACCTCACCTGTTGTACTGACCCACCTCACCTGTTGTACTGACCCACCTCACCTGTTGTACTGACCCACCTCACCTGTTGTACTGACCCACCTCACCTGTTGTATTCCCACCTCACCTGTTGTACTCCCACCTCACCTGTTGTATTCCCACCTCACCTGTTGTACAAAAATGTACTGACCCACCTCACCTGTTGTACAAAAATGTACTGACCCACCTCACCTGTTGTACAAAAATGTACTGACGCACCTGGTACTGACCCACCTCACTTGTTGTACTGACCCACCTCACCTGTTGTACTGACCCACCTCACCTGTTATACTCCTCACCTGTTGTATTCCCACCTCACCTGTTATACTCCCACCTCACCTGTTGTATTCCCACCTCACCTGTTGTACTCCACCTCACCTGTTGTACTTCCCACCTCACCTGTTGTATTCCCACCTCACCTGTTGTACTCCCACCTCACCTGTTGTATTCCCACCTCACCTGTTGTACTGACCCACCTCACCTGTTGTACTGACCCACCTCACCTTTTGTACTGACCCACCTCACCTGTTGTACTGACCCACCTCACCTGTTGTGCTGACCCACCTCACCTGTTGTACTGACCCACCTCACCTGTTGTACTGACCCACCTCACCTGTATGCATTCCCCAGGTGTTGCAGTAGCAGCCCCCTGTTGTACTGACCCATGTCCTGCCTCAGTAAGGGGATGAAGCTGTCCTGAATAGCCTTGTTCAGATGCCCGCTGGCCAGCAGCAGGATTCCCAGGTGGGTCTCTGCCAGGACTGTGTCATCCATGTGAGTTGCCACATCCCGCGCCTGGCGGTAAAAATGTCTGGCCTTGTCCAGAATTCCACAGACCCGATGGGCATCACCAGCATCTAGACAGGCCTGGTGCAGGAGGGAGTCCTGATTAATAACTGCTATTGCTAAATTGCTGCAATTGCTAGCCTGGATGCCAGGACCAGTGTGCAAGGTGATATCAATGCCTTTGGGCGTAAAGTTTGGCTGGGGGTGAAACATATGTCCCGCTCCCAGAGTTGTTACGGGATTTGGATTATCTCCAATATTTGTAAAAACAAAGAAATCCTAGGTAAGGAGCTAACACAATGTATCAAAAGTACTTTCTAATCTAAATGTTTTACATTGTGGTACATGCTCTAATGGCCACTACTCAAATTTCTCTGTGTCAACAATCACATTTGGCCCTAAACTGTTTCCCCATAACCTGACCTGGAACAGTGCACTTGGTGGAATGTCGGGCTGAGTTGTTGCTAGGAGATATGCTTGATTGGCAGCTGCCAGCCCATCCTCCACTGGACCTGTGGCCATGGCGATCTCTAGCTTCAGATGAAGACATGCCAGTCTCTATTTGATTAAAGGAGGTCACAAAATAGGTGTCAACACAATGTTTTATTAACTATTTACTATTATTTTCATCTGTGTACTAACTTAATAATATTGTAAAGGTATATGTGTTATCTGATCATGCAGGTAACAGTACTAACATTACATCTCTGCAGGTTTGCACAACCACACCATGGTGGTTTCTGGGGCAAATCTCCGGGAGTGACTCATGAGGATGTCACCATTGGCTAAGTTTTCCTTCCGCATTAAGTAAATGTACCTGCATACCACCTAGGAAAAATCTAGGAAGGTTTGCTCTTGGAAGGAAACTTACCTGTGTTGCATCCATTGCTTCATCCTTCAAAACGTTGTCGAGAAGATGGGAGGCCAAGTGAAGGTTCCTTCCCATCAGGTCTCGTATTGCCTGCAGATTTTCTGCTGTTTAAGAAGAGTTGCAGAATGATACAGAATATATAAGACATATAAGAGTAGTTACCACAATGACTGCAGATAGTGAAAGTGAAAGGGACTGAAAGGTATTTGGAGGGAAGGTCCCATAAATATTGTTAACTTTGCACAGCCCTGTGTTTTGTTTTGAATGCTGACTTTCCCAACCTACAACAGGACCGTTTATAGGTCACAGTATTTAATTCTCTTGGTTCTCAGACTTAAAAATAGAGTCAACAAAAGTTCCAAACGAAAACATAAGGATTGAGAGCAAAAGTTGAAATTGACTAATCGTATATGTAACATGATCAGGCGAGGTGCAATGGGCTTCTAAAAACTGCACCTGTTCCTTGAGCGTCCGGAGGGTCGTTTCTCAGTTTCTGCAGATGTAACTCGATCTCTTTCATCTTCCCGCCGACCAGCGCGCGGGTCGCACTGTCCACGGGCAGGTCTTCCATGTTCTGGGCCGAGGAGCTGGTTCTGACTGGCGTGGCTATTTCCCAAGCAATGCGTGAAGATAATAAAACTTTACTCGCTACAAGGAAAAGTGATAGTAAAACAGCAACAAGATACATAGAAAACGCTCAATTGTCCTGGTCTAAAGTAACGGCTTCGTTGTTTTTAGGATCTGCGACGGCCGCGACCTCAGCTCCGGGTTTTCCCGGGCTGACGTTAATACGTCATACATGGGGAATCCCGAGTCCGTCACCCTTTCCCAGATTTACTTTCGGTGTTCTTACCAATATTCATGTAAGATCCGCGAATAATGCAGTGACCTTTGTGTTTTTAACGAATATTTTTATCGAACCAATGAGATAAGATATTCAATTTTCTTTTGAAAATATTGAAAATAAACTTTTCAAAATGAGGAAGTGACTTAAGCAGGCGATGACGTCATGCTGCCGAACCTTTTCTCCCGGAAATGCGCAAGAATACAACCGGTGCAACCTGCCATCGAAACGTTAAACATGAAAATATCAAAAGTGACACGAAGACAGTTGAATTACAATAATTTGTAGTCCCATTTAACCCTCATCGTCAACTGTTGAAAATGCTTTGAATGATTTCTTTGTCGCATTTATGTTAAGTAACTGGAAGTTTCTGGGGTCGCGGATGGTTACACTAATAAACAGCTGTGTAATGTCAGTGACCATGTTTCACTTTCTAATGCTGTAATGCACACGTCCAAACTTCGCAAGACTTCTCCATATATGATAGTACAACCAAGGAAGCATCTTGGTACAACCTCGCATTGCAGATTTAATAGCCTGGCACAATGAGTGGCTCGGAGAGTGGCGAAACTGTCAGTCCGTTTCGCGTCCTGCTACTTCGCCTTTCCGAGCAGATATCTTCCCAGGAGCTGAGCGACATGAAGCACCTGCTGAAGGACGATATCGGCCAGAGAAGGCGCGAGGAGGCGCTGTCGTGCCTGGACCTCTGGGACCATCTGGAGAAAGCCGGAAAGCTGTCGGACGGACGGACGGACCTGCTGAAGGACGTACTGTACAATCTGCCCAGGAGGGACCTGGTCAAACTGGTGGAGGAATATGAAAATCAGAGGAAAGGTAATTCAAAAGTTGATAGCTAGTCGTGTCCGTACTTGGACAATGGGAAGTCCCCAAGCAGATCCTAGGGTGGCAAACGACAACATCAAATTGGCAGTGTCCAGTCCTTGGGTGTCGTCCCTCTTTGGTGACTGTGGATACTGCCTGGCCAATTTGATAGTCTTTTGCCACCATAGGATCTGCTTGTAGATTAGTGTAAGAAACAGAGGCGAGATAGTAATGGGATAGATGAAACATTTTACAAAATAAATGTTACAAAAAGTTCCACAGTCTCATACCTTCGCCAATGATTTTAACCTTAATGAATGACAAATTACAAAATTAATGTTTCTCATTGATTATGCAAGATCCTCATTTGCATGAATTATATCAGTTGAACATATTCTTCAACCAATGACAGAAGGCTATTTTAGCATTTCCTCATGAATTATGCAAATGAGGCCCTGGTTTGAATAACTTATACTTAATGATGTCCACCTTCACAAATTACTAGTAACTTCCAAATGCAGTATGACATTCCCAATGGTGAACACTATGAAATTATAGCATTTTCTCATTAATTATGCAAATTAGGTTGCTATTTACATTACATAATTAATATCTGCAGATGTTCTTCTTGTTGTTGTCAATTACATGTCTCAAATTTTGATAGTCCTATCATGGAATGCAGCATATAGAATTTCCTCTCTGATTATGCAAATTAGATCCTGATTTGCATAATTGTCATCTAATTGTGTCGAGTATCAATTGAACTACCTACATACAAAATCACGATAATCCGTCATCGTCTTTTTGAATTATCCTCCCTCGAAGATTTTGTAAACAAAGACCCCTACAGTTCCAGAACAAGCTGCTATGGGGCGCAAAGCAAAAATTTTAAAGCTATTACCACCCAAAATTCGTGACCCCAGTATATGCAATTAGAATTTTTCTTTCAGAGTCTCAAATTGCTGTGTCTACATGTGGCAAGACCACCCCACCCCCCATCCAGTGCAAGGCCAACCCATCCCCCACCCAGTGCCAGTCCAGCCTACCCCCCACCCAGTGTATCAGGCAGACAAGTGAATCTGCCAAACCTGTATGTTTTGCTTACACACAGCCTCCCTTACAGGAGGAAGGTAAGGCTAATCTTTCAGTGATACAATGCTTATCGTGAATTAATGAAGGCCTTAAAGTTTATTCATTCATTCATTCATTCATTCATTCATTCATTCATTCATTCATTCATTCATTCATTCATTCATTCATTCATTCATTCATTCATTCATTCATTCATTCATTCCATTATTGGTTTCTTCAAATATGCCTTCATTAATTTACGATAACCATGTGGAAGTTTCAGACAAAATCTCCTTGGTTTAGTATAGAATGTATTGATCAATTAATTAAACTACATGTATCCATTTCTTGTGACCTGTACTTAACCAAGTGCAAAGTGGGTATGTATGTATGTATGTATGCATGTATGTATAATGTATGTATGTATTCATGATCACAATATTAATGATTTATTGTATTTTTACATTTGCTGTGCTGCAGGTAAGTCCTCCCACCTGCCCACCAGTGTTCAGTCAGAATCACAGACACTCTACAATGGCTTACCCATTACAGGTGAGGCACCACAGAACAGGCACTACCGGTATAGAACAGTCAATACATGGCAAAGTGGGATTCATATAATACAAAACATGGTTTTTAAAATCTGAAAGTCTAAAAAAGCCATATCACTATCAGATGTCTACTGGGACAATCGTTAAAAAAGAACCTGGAGTGGTTTTCTGCATAGCTGTGGGATTTCTTACTGATGCCACATTCTCACTGTTTTCACCTCAAACCAGCTGCTACAGACGGACCAACAGACCCGCCAGAGACAACCACAGACACCAAACATCACACAGTAGGGGACAACATGGCCCGGCATTCCCCAAGAGATTACAGACAAAAAGCTGTGAGAATTAAGGAGCAGAAAGTCCTGCCTAAAGCACAGAACTACATGGAGACGGCCGGGTACAGGGTGGCGATTGTGGGCGGGAAGCACTACGAGATAGATGAGGAGGAGTTTGTAGAGATGGACCACAGTTCATCCTACCACATCCGGCTGACCAACTCCCACCTCCGCTCATGTGATGCACAGCTGTCCATCGATGGCAAGGACGTGGGGACATGGCGTCTGGAACCCAAACAGGAGATTGAGTTGGAACGGCCTGAGGAGGAGCAGATGTGTTTCACCTTCTTCAGCACCAGGATGGCTCCAGCAGAGGCTGGCATCAGGAGGGGGGTAGAGGAGAATGGTTTGGTCCAGGTCACTTTCACGCCAGAGAAGATGAGAGAAGAGAAGACCACAGTTAAAGGTGCGTAGGTTCTTCACAAGTGACAAGTACTCTGCTATGTTATTATTACCTCCATGAAAAATGGAGGTATTGTTTTTGGCGTGTCTGTCTGTATGTATGTATGTGTGTGTGTCTGTCTGTCTGTCTGTGTTTCCGCAACTTTGTGGTCAGCATAACTTCAGAACGTCTTTATGGATTATGATGATATTTGGTATGTTGGTTAGTCTTAGGAACACAAACGTCAAGGTCAAATATGGGCCTCCTGGTAGATGACCTTGGTACTGCAGCAGAACTTCCGGTTTTTGTATCTTTTGTCCTGAACATGCTATGGTCTTGATGTTTTGGTGACAGATTGCTTTTCCTGTCAGGAATAAGTGGTGTGAGTTTGGTCCCCCTAGCAGCTTGTTCTGGAACTGCAGGGCACTTTCTGGCGAAATGTTTAAAAGCCAGTAAGTCCAGATAGGAACAACATATTTTCATAATTTTTGGTGTGTAGGTAGCTAAGAGAGAGATGTACATGATTAAATGCAAATTATGCAAATGAGGACTTTATTTGCATAATTAATGAGGAAATTCTATGATTACAGTGTTTTTACTACTTTCATACATGTAATGTATGTAACCTATGGCAGGCAGAACATCTACAGATACTAATTATGCAAATGATGACCTAATTTGCATAATTTTTGCAAAAATTCTATGATTTCTTAATGGTGAATAATGGGAATGTCATACTTTGGACATCTGTAAGTTAATCAAAAGTTAACATACATCACGATGCATATATCATGTTAATGCGGAGGTAATTTGCATAATTAAAGAGGAAATTTTTTTTATTGTAGCTCACCTAGATAGAGCTCATGATTTGAGGAGAAAAATGTCAAATGACAAAAATTCATCTAACTTAATATCCTTAGTTTTCATACTGTTCATTTGGAGTATTTGTAAATTGTCATAACTTGTCATCAAATCTACTTTTCCACAGGTGTGTGAAAATATCCACTTATACAAACAAGTTGCTATTTATATTTTGTGTAACGTTATAAGGTATTGAATTTGAGTGGGTTGGGTCTCATAATTTGAAAATCATAAAATTTCCATTTTTGAGACGGAAGGATGCCTGCTAGATATCAAAGAGGACTGAAAGGTGCAGATTTCCTGTCCTTCTCACCTTGTAGACCTGTATCGTGGAGGTGACCAGGGAGCTGAGGATGACACAGCCAGCAGTGACTCCTCTAGTGGGGAGGAAGATGAGCCATTCCGCAGTGACACGCCTCTGAACTGGTCGTCAGGGGCAACAGCTCTGCAGGGGATCAGCCAGCAGGAGTTTGAGCAAGTAGAGGGAGAGATTGAGAAGGATGAGGAGGCCCAAGTTATCATGATCTTACGTCTGGTAGCGAGGTACCTAAATTCCATGTTTCAGAACAAGCCCTTGCACACAGGGAATAGGCAAATAGAGTAAAAAGTCTTACCTGCCAATGTTTTAACGGCTGCACTTTCTCAGGGCTTGCAGTGACCTGAAAAAGCTTCTTCACATACATCATTCAATTTTGGCTCATTTCCTCACAATTGGTTGCTTGACTAAAGAATTGGATTTCCTTGCAGGGACAATATGATTTAGCTCACAAGAGTTTCAGCAATGTTAATCGTAACATTGTCTATATTTATCAGTAGTGCAATAGGCTGTAACTAAATAAAAACATTGAGATGTGTTGTGATGTGTGGTTTCAGAATTGATGGTTCTAAGGTAGAGGTCTCCAGTGCTCCAATCAAACCGCTGACATCGAAGCGTCCAAGAGCAATCCAAGACTAGCAGAAACCCGCCTGGGGAAAGAACTACGTACAACCGAAGAGTGAGCTGAAGTTTCAACTCTGTAACTTCTGAAAGGACATTGATCAGTTTTTGGACCTGACTGGAAAAACCAGACACATTTGAACTTTTTGAATTTTTTTGAATAAGTCATTAATGTTATATTGCTTGTCTTCCTAGAAATTTGAACTTTTATTTTGAATAAGTCATTAAGGTTATATTGCGTCTTCCTATAGCATTTACAGTGTTTTTAAGACCATACCTGACATCAAGGTTTATGGATTTACAGTACTTATAGCTAAGAAAGCCCAGTGCTGAGTATCAATATAATTGTGATATAATTTTGTCCCAAAATAAAACAATAAGGTATCCTGAGATACACCCAAATGCTACAATGTACTAGAAAGTCAACATAGATTCTACCAGGCTTGTCAACCGTTCAAAAATGAACT